GAGATTAACTTTTCAAAAAAATAGCCAGGGGTTGGGAAGGTGGCTCAGTGGTAGAGCGCTTGCCTTGCATGCCTGAGGCCCTGGGTTCGATTCCTCAGCACCACATAAACAAAAAGAAAAAAAGCCGGAAGTGGCGCTGTGGCTCAAGTGGTAGAGCGCTAGCCTTGAGCTGAAGAGCTAGGGATAGCGCCCAGGCCCAGAGTTCAGGCCACCCCGCCCCCCAAAAAAAAAACCAGATCTGGTTCATATCCCAGGTAAAATAGAAAAATGATGGACATGAACACTTAGAAGAAAAACCTTTTCATGTACTATGTTGATAGCACCACTAGGTCATTCATACCATTAGGAGACAAAGTACAACCAGAGTTTCCTAGCCATTCAAGGAAGGTATTTTATTCCAAAAATAGCACCATTTCACTTCGACAATGTTTACATTCAGAAAGGAATCGAAACCATAGACCCACAGGTGACATATCCCACTGAACCATATGAAATTTCTGGTTTGAGGACCCAAAACAATTTCACATTGTCCAGCCTATCTATAAGGTGATGCAGAGTCTTCATTGAACTAAAACTGGCATTCAATCGTTCAAAAATTAAGCTCTGTCTGAGAACTACAAACAGGGCATCATACGCAGCTCAGGTAATGCCAAAGCTTCCTACCAATGGCCTCTCCCCCATTTGCTGGGAAGAGTCCCAGGATATGCATTATATGCATCTATAACTATCAGGACATGAATTTATATGTATCCATAAATATCAAGACATGCATTTATATGCATCCATAACTATTGGGATATGCATTTTCCTAAAGCAGATGGACAATGCCTTGTGAAGAGAAGCTGAAAGAGAAGACAATCCCTCTGGCACAATCATCCCTTGGAAGTAACTCTAGACAGTGAAGACCAGTGGTTTCATGGAGGACAAGAAATCTGGCCAAACTAGGTTCTGCAAGGACTCTGCTCCATATAAAGCAGCAGCAGAGATTCATGCCAGCCAGCTGATGGACTGCTCTGGCTCCAACTGGCATTCTGAGCAAGCCAACCCATCACCATTAGCAAAATCCACCCCACAGAAGCCAGTCCAATGGGAAACCACCCTGAACCCCACATCAGGAAATCTACAACTGATTAGGCCCGTGAGGAAAACCCCACTGTGGGCATGTAACACAAAGCAGATGCCAAGACTGAGCCCATTGTGGAGACTCATCCTGCCTACCCCCCCCCCGCCCCCGTACACAGACCTTAAGCACACAACTTCAGCTCTTCACTGGCCCTCAGCCAAGGCTGGGGCTAGCAACAGGAGGCCCTTGCCCATGAGTACCTGAGAGAAGGGCCTCATATCTCTTTAGCCTAGTTTCAATGGGACTAAAGCCACCATCGTCACCCAGCATATAGTATCCCGCCTCCCCCAACCCCACTCCATGCTCAGGCCCAGAAAGGAACTCTTTGAAGCCGGGAAGGTCCCAATTAGGAAGGAACAAGAAGATCACTGGAACCGCCAGGGTGGTGACAGCAACTCTGTTGGCAAGGGGACTGGAGATCCCCAGACACAATTTCCTAAAAGAAATGAGCACAATGGCCACGCTACTCTTACCCTGAGGAACTTGTACTCACCGCCAACTCATTGGGTTCACTGGAAAACTATCCAGAGCCCAGAGATGACCCAGAGATCTGAGGAATTCTAACAAACCACCATTAGAGCCACCTTGCCAAAGAAAATTTCTCTTTAAAAATTTCTCTTTAAATCAGGTGTGGCAGCACCCACCTGAAATCCCAGCACTCAGGAGGCTGAGGCATGAGGATTACAAGCTCAAAGCCAGCCTAGGCTCTATAGCAAGTACAGCAAGATCCTGACTCAAAAATGTTTTTTTTTCCTTATTTAATCCTCAGAAAATCAGTCATGAGATGGAAATGTAAACTGGTACAACTGCTGAGGAAAATGGCATGGCAGTACCTCATAAACTGAAAATCAAAGCTACCTCAAGATCCAACAATCCTACTTCTGGGTATGTGAACAAAGCAAATGGATTCCAGGTTTCAAAAGACACCTATACAGCCATCATCATAGCAGCAGCTGCCCCAACAGCCCAGAGATGGAGAAAACCCAGATCCACCAATAAGTGAGTTAATAAGTAAGAGTTGGCATATCCACACAAGGGAGTTATCAGGCAGCTTTGAAGGAAAGTCAGTTGTGACCCAGGCTACAATCTGTACAAACCTTGAAGATTGCTACAGAAACAAAAGGACCAACTCTGTGTGATTCCACTTACATGTACCATCTACTGCATTCAAATTCATAGACAGGAAGTAGAATGGCAGTAGCATTCATAGACAGGAAGTAGAATGGCAGGATGATGGGAAAGCAGATCTATTGTTGATGGAGACAAATAGGCCATCTGGGAAAATGGAAAGCTCTGGAGATGGATGGTAGCAATGGTGGTGCAACAATGTGAACACAAATAATGTCTCTGAGCTGCATACACGCTTAAACAATAACACCGCCAGGTGTAATGGCTCATGCCTATATCCTTAGCTAATTGGCTGGCAGAGACTGGGCAACCAGCCTGGGCAAAAAAAAAAAAAA